TATTTAAATATTATTATTATTATTATTGTTATTATTATTATTATTATTATTATTAACATCATCATCATCATTATCATTATTATTATTATCATTATTATTATTATTATTATTATTATTATTATTATTAAATATGTTTATAAGGTTTATAAATTTAGAAATAGCAAATGACAATTACATTTGCTTTTATTGATTATTTAAATATTATTATTATTATTATTATTATTATTATTATTATTATTATTAACATCATCATCATTATTATTATTATTATTATTATTATTATATTATTATTATTATTATTATTATTATTATTATTAAATATGTTTATAAGGTTTATAAATTTAGAAATAGCAAATGACAATTACATTTCCTTTTATTATTTAAATATTATTATTATTATTATTATTATTATTATTATTATTATTATTATTATTAACACCATCATGATCATTATTGTTATCATTATAAATAATAATTATTATTATTATTAAATATGTTTATAAGGTTTATAAATTTAGAAATAGCAATGACAAGGCCTTTATGTATGTTTTCAAATAACTAAACTAAACAGCAAATTTCATTTCATAATTATTTAGATAAAAGAACATGCAATAAAACTGACAAACACAAAATAACAGAGGAAAAGAGACTCAATTGCTGTGGCCGGACAGGATTGTCAAAATCAAAACGTGACTAAAAAGCTGTCTTGATTCTCCGATGCGATGCCAATGACAACAGAATTAGCATAAAATAGTAAAGTAAAAATATCATAAATATATATGTATATGTATATATATTTTTATATAAATATATATAATTATTATTATTATTATGTAATGTAGTTAGATTTATAGCGCTTTATACAGAAGTCTCAAAAACCCTAGAGGTGTGGACTAGCTCGAACAGCAACCTGCTTCTCCCCTAAGGTCTCCTTATGTCCGAGCTGCTCCAAGGTAAATCGCAATGGCGGATTCAGGGGGCGGGGCAGCCAGCTCGGCCCCCCTCCCCCCATAAATTTTTCAAAACTGTAAAAATATTAGAGAAAAAAATGAAAATTATTTTAAAATATTAAATCATTCCTGATGATGACATAATTAATGTTGAACTATTGAACCCTGACACGATGGCGTGCATTATTTCGATACTTGGAGTATGTATTTCCGGACATCTAAAGGTGCCATAATCGTAATTTTTGTTAGGTGGTATAGACCATCCATCTGTCAAAGTCCCTCCCCAGGCCCCCTCTATTTCAAATTCCTGAATCCGCACCAGCTACTCTCGTCAAAAAATGGGATGCATGGATCACTAGTACACTGGGGAACCCCTATTCGTCACAAAAGATGTATTGGGTTCTTCCAAGTGCACATTATTATTATTATTATTATTATTAGAGAGATTTTATATATTAGGCCTACTGTCATTTTCCTCCTGCAAAACTCAATTTCAATAAAAATGTTGGAGATTAGATGCTTTAATAAGGTTGCTGCACAGACAGCAGGAAGTCCACGGCTAGAATCCAGGTTGGGGTGACTTTTGTTTTACACTCCAAGATCCCTTGATTTACGTTCAAAATCAATGTAATTACCATACAGCATTACCACAAGACGATAAACGAATCTGTTTTATGCGTGCGTCTGAATACTAGTGTTGTTTGGCATACCGTAAAGTGTGAAATCAATTGCCTTTAATGGATTCAAACTTTCAACGAAAGCCTCAATATGACCCAGTTGGTTAAAGCATCTGCACAGACTGTAGACAGTGCCGCGTTTAGCCGGTTAGAACTGCACATATATCCTATAGGTCTCTGTGATCTAATAATATTCGTATTGACAGTGAAGAGGGTGCAGGTTCGAATCCCGATACGTCACTCTTTTTTTCATACAACTGGAATTAAAGTTTTCGTTGATGAGCCATGCATGACACGGTTGATACAACTTATTCCTATTTGAACACTGTTATTTACTTCTATTGTATTTACGGTGCTATATATATATATTTTATACCATCTAGCTTTATCTACCCTCACTCACCCGCCACTGAGGAAGGACTAGTGTTGTCCGAAAGCTCTGGTTCTATTTCTGGCTGTTTACTTACATTTACTTTTTAGCTGTTGCTTATCATTTTTGTATCTCTACTGAGATCCAGCCATTGTTTCCCACAGCATTGTTGTTTTTCAGTATTTTGCCTTTTAATATATATATATATATATATACATATATATATATATATATATACAATAAGTTTGCTGTGCAGCACTGTAAACAAATAGATAAATAATCAAATGTGCTCAAATAGGAATATAAGATGTTATAATCATATCAAGCAAAGCGCTTCAATGAAAGGTTCCTTTTTTTCCAGTTGTATGAAAACATATCTTTAACATCATAACAGCAGCAATAATATTAGGTAATATATGTTTAACAGGTTGGACAAAGTAAATAAAAGGCAATAATAAATATTGTATTAATGATTTAAATCATTTATTTAGAAATAAAAACAAAGCATTTTACAGAAATAGACAATTTACCATAATAATATTCAATTTAATTATTAATCTCTTAATGTGGAAAAAAAAAGTTCATAAGTTTTTATTTCCCCACACCTGAAAAATAATACATCATATTTCTACATAAACAGCTAATATAGAGGAATTATATATGTATGTTCCTGGGTTACCATTTTTCATTTCAGATATATACATAATGATAAAATAAAACTGGCTAAGCATAATTTGGATATTACAACAGAATGAGCTGCACAAGCTGCTTAAATCAGTAGCGGATTTAAGGGCAGGGGGTGCCTAGCAGGCCTGGGAAAAAACAATTTTCAAAATTGTAAAAAAAAACCGAGAAATAAAAAGACAGTTACATTAAAATCCAAGTCTGAGAGTGCCATTTCCGGCCATCTGGAGGTGCCATAATCATATTTTCCATATGTGCAAGTCCCTCTCTAAGCCCCCTCTATTTCAAATTCCAGGATCCGCGCACTGAAAACGTTAATGAAATTAGAAAAGTGCAGGAGATGGCTCATTGGCTATCAAGCTGAGCTGTAATGTAGATAAGCAGGTATTAAATAAGATAGGAAAAACACCAAGTACTGCCAAACGCCTTTTTTTATTACAATTTACACTTTTGACAGGGTTCCATTAGTCTTCCGTAAGTAGCGGGAGTCTCCCAGAAATAAGGACAGCCTACCGCACTCCAACAAGCAATCAAGAATCTCCAGGAATACAACACATCTTTAGCAAATTCATAATATTTGCATATTTTTTAACTATACAGTAGGGGTCCAAAGTTGGGAGAAGCCATTTCTGGGAAATCTGGTTAATGATATTGGGGGGGGGGGGGCCCTAGAAAAAGGGCCATGCTTACGTCAGCCCCAGAATGGATGGGGCTAAGGTGAGAAAAATTTTTTAAAATAGGCACCTATAGAAGCCTGAAAATGGCAACGTTGCACTATAAAAACTACTTTCCAAATCAGTTTTCTGATGAAATGACTGGTTTCTTAGTTGTGTGGTAGTGAAAAAACATATATTAGCTCCCTTTATACTAAATTTGCTGGAGATGAGTACATTTGCGGGAGATTTTTGCTTGCTCGCAGGAGTGCGGGACACCTTACCGATTTCTGAGAGACTCCCACGAAACTTGGGACCCCCGATACTGTATGATCTGTCTCACGGAAATCAGCTCTCGATGTAGACCAAAACACAATTAAATGTATCAAAAAAGTTCATTTAAGGAAATACATCTGAGGTGACTTCTTGCAACTTGGAACCCCTGCTTTGATAATGCATACAGTATCTATTTATAGCAAGCCTACACAAAAAGCACCCTAATAAAACTACCATACTATTAGAACTGTAGGATTTTATAGAAACCTAGGCAAGAAAATTAAGTTTAATTATTCTTTCAATTAAATTATAAATAATTGAACATTTAAAAATGTGATGTCATTTTGCACTAAGTACTAGCTACATATTCAAAAGTTGTGCTGTCGCATTTGTACAGTAAGCCTGGTTTGATGTTAATGAAATTTATTGTGTCTGTAATGATAAGCATTTGGTGCAGTCCCATGTCACATGATTATTTGCATACTACATTGAATATGCAAATTAGAAATTGTTAAGTAGTTGCAATGATAAGGAAGATATGTTCCATATGATCTTCTTAAAATAGAATGTTGACTTAATACATATAACAGACTTGCTGACATCACAAAACCTATTTCAATATTTGATCGAGATATGACACACAGTACACTGATATCACTGCCTAGATATACATTTGAGAAACGGTACATGAATGATTAAAGTATTAAGTGAAGCTGATTCGAGAATAATCTGAGCTGATGATGATACTAAATTATGGCTCATAGGCAGGTGGCTTCTCCCATTTACTCATGTCAACGACTTCTTCGTAGGCTGGTGGTTTTGGTATCAGGGCCTATTGAAAATAGATAACAGCAGAGTATTTAAATTCAATTATTATTATTTATTTACAAGTATTATATTACATATAATGTAATGCAATACAATTTCTTTTAATCATTAACAATTATATAATACATTGGAACCATTGGAACAAAAAATTTGTTTCCCTTTAATCGGGGTGTCCCCTGAATAGGGGTTGAAAGAAATTGAAAGATATACTTTCCTTTGTTTTGTGGCTGAAAAAGAGTCCACTTAATAGGGATGTCCCAAAGGAGGGGTTCTACTGTATTAACAATATAATAAAACCTGATTGAAATTCGTCGACAAATTTTAGGTGATACGCAGGATCCGATAGTTTTCCTCAGCGAGAAAATTTTAAAATGCCCAAAATGGCCTGAAACGTGCTTTAAATTGGTCAAAAAGTGGTCTTGAGAACTAAAAAATAAACGCAGACTGGTTCAGAACACTGACACAAGTATACTACATACCAAGGGTCAACTTCACATGCCATTAAAGTTGACCCTTGATATGAAGTAAACTTGTGTCAGTGTTCTGAACCAGTTTGCCGCCCTCTGGCGGAGGTAAATTTATGATAAATCATAGAATTTCACAAAGATTTAAAGGAAAATATTAGGGGGTGAGAAAAAACACAAAATGAAAATGAAAGGCACAATTATGAAAGAAAATTGTCTCAGCTATAATACACTGAAACTTGGGAGGGGGAGGGGTCATGACGAGACAAATTTTTACTTCTAGTCATGATCCCAATGATGGTGTATTAATTTGTATTGTATACTATTACTGTTTCCATCAAATAAATGTCATTTGAATTTGAATTTTGAATTTGAGCTGTAACTGATTAAAATTAGGCACGATTTTGGCATATTTTCACTTATGCCTACACAAACATGCGCACGGATTTGTACGTTCGATACGCACTTACGGGATTATTATTGGCCCTTAAATCACTAAGAAGAAATGAAAATTTGTGAATACAGTGCAAGAAACCCAAATATGTAAAAAAAAAAAGAAGTTAATTCATAGCTAAAAATGCGCACTAAGAACGAAAACATTTTTTTTTTGAGCATTTTGAAATTTTAACACACGCATTTGTGTGAGAAATTTATGATCAATCATAACATTTCACAAAATGACGAGTAGATGACGTCAAAAAAAGTCACCTGCAAAACTTTGAATGTATTTGCTGGGCCAAATAAACAAGGATAGAACCTGTGCCGTTTTTGAAAATTTAAAAAAAAGGGGAAATAAATAAATAAAGAAGAAAAATCTTAACAACAACAGGTGTTACTCTGTAGCAGCGTATCACCTAATAACAATAATATAAATAACACTAAATAACAACAACAACAGCAATTATCAACTATTATTACTTTGATAATAATTATCATTGTGTAATTAAAATGTTTGTTACTTACCTCCATGTCATCAGAATTGTAATTCGCTCCAGTTGAATATTCAACAGATGCAATGTATTTGTAACAAGACCAGACACAAGAAATGCAGTAGCCCTATGCAAATGAATCAGATAAAACAAATGTATGAAAGACAAGCACTTAGCTAAGAAAAATGGTGTTTATTTTCTATGTTTCAAGCAATGTATCTGTAACAAGATCAGACACAAGAAATGCAGTAGCCCTATGAAAATGAATCAGAAAAAACAAATGTATGAAAGTCAAGCAATAAGCTAGGATACACAGGATTACAATATTTATTCCACTTGGATTGCAACTGAATTTTCTTTCCTTTTTTGGATTATAATATAGCGTATCACTTCTATTGTCCCTGTATAATGGAACAGATGCTTGAAACATCAAGAAAAATGGTGTTTATTTCATATTTTACAAGCAATTTTTAAGGGTTTTAGGTTTTTGTACTGCACTTATTACAGTAGCATACATTTTACATGTTGTTAAAGATATTATTAATTAAATATTGGCAGTTTTTGGGAAGCCAATAAAATTACGACTTAGTTCCATGTAGCCACAAAACTGTAAAACACTGTGCAGACAACTCTATTATATCACAATATTCATTACATTTTTACAATACTTTAACTATAAAATTTCTGCAAGTGTATATACAATGAGTGTTTTCTTGGAATGGATACCGTTGCACAATAAATCTTCGATATTATTTTTTTTGTAGAATTTTTGTCCCTGAATAGATCCCAAGCTGCTAATTGTGTATTGGTGCATTCTACAGTAGTCCATATTTTACTATGTAGGCTCGATAAGGCATTTTGTTGGATCAGGGGCAAATTCAAATATAATTGAGTATACAAAAATAATTCATAAGGTGAGTTAACGCAGCAGTCAGGGATCCGAATTCGGTGGAGGAGAGAATGATTTGTACATCTAATAATGCTGTTCATGCTTTAGTCCTTAAATATTTTTTTTGATATATCTGTGGCCCCATGATGGTCTTACATTTTAAAGTGATTTTTGATGAAACACGCATTTTGCAAACATGTGCGTGATGATAAATTTGTCATGCAGTAACACAAGTCTATGTGTGATAACTAATTTTCACAAAAAAAACGTATTAAAATTAGAAGAAAGTGGTTTTACTAAAAATATAAAAATGGTCATGCAGTAGCTTGAGTCATTAGAGAGCTTTTGTTATCTTGTTCGAGAATCAATTCACAGAGAAAATTACTTTTTCCCAACCAAAATCAACCAAGCCAACTACGCACTTAGTAGAATCTAGTAGTCGCATGCAGTCTTGGGCATTTATTGTCACAACCAGCCATTGATTATGTGACTGGAGCCCAGACCTCCACTGGGGGTTCCACCCCTGGATCCCAGGGGGCCTGTCGGCCCAGCCCTCCACCCACCCAACTTGTCACGCATTTCAAATCTCTCAGGTTGGTAACTACGCATACCTTACCATTGCACCAAGTATGTCAATGCCCCTTGATAAGATAACTCAGCTAATTATCATCTTGAAACTGTTTTGATGGATTTATTTCAATGCATTTTTAGTTTAATAATAAATAACTGTCTGTAACTTCCTGATCATGGAAAAAAAAGAATTTGTAGAAATTTCTGATAAACATGTTCAAGGTCGTGTTTAACCCTGTTTTTGAATGCAAGTCATTTCCAAAGAATTTCAATGATTTTGACTTGAATAATTAAACATTTTCTCATATTTGATTACATTGCATTTCATATACTGTACTGCATATGAATTGTTTTGAAAGAGGCCCTCTTTAAGTCTGCTTGGAGCCACCCTCCCAAAAGACTGTTGAATAAACAAATAATAAAACCTACCTTAAACACCATAATGAGCATAAACACGATGACAGCAATAGCCATGAATCCAGGTCCGTCGAGATCGTAGTTGGACACTGGAAACTGCTCCTTCCAGTGCATAAACTCCTGATTGTATGGGAACTGAGACTACAGAGGGCATACATGTAATAAAAATAACATTTTTACAATTAGAGAGGTTTTACAACTTTTTGCTGGATCCACACCATCAAAATTTACATGGCCAATTTGAGTGATATGCCTTCATATGTGGCAAAGACAAGCCAAACCAGTCACTCATCGCAAATTTGAGTTATTAATACATCATTAAAGAGTAAAATAAGAGCTATAAAATGGTAAAAAAAATCATTCAAATCTGACATTTCCTTATGAAGTTACAAGCATTTAAACATACAGCTGGTTAAAAAATACATGAGAAATCAGCCCTCAAAGTTTATGATTTTGGGCATTTCTCATGCAGAAACTATCCTCAAATCCTTACAAAGTGTTGTTTTAATAAATTGGAAATTTGGAAAATAGCAGCATAGCATGATGTATAGATAAATTAGTGCAATAAAATAGATTTTTAAAAATTTGACATTCCACCATGTTTGGCCATTTTCTCTGAAACACGATTTGCGACGAGTGACTGGTTTGGCTTGTCTTTGCCACATATGAGTCCTTGCCTGAGAGTTCTGTATGAGATAGGACTAAAATCTAAATGCTTCTGCTATAGACCCCCCTGTTATCATAGTTATATTTATCCAGTCCAAATCTAAAGTTTATCAGTTTACAAATACATGATTCTCAGAAAACACAGACACACTGTAATAGATATGGAAGGGGATCAGCTCAGAAGTTTAAAATGGATGGCCAGTTAATTGTACAGTACTTAATTTCAACGGTATGAAACAATAATGGAACAGAGGCTGAAGAATGTGTTGTCAAGCAATTCTCAGCTGCAACACAAATATTAACAACATAATCTATACATACATTAATAATAAATAAATTTGAACACTGTTCAAACACCTAATATATTCTATTATACATTAAACAAGATTGTAACAGCTGTAAGGACAAGCCAACAATAAAGATTGAACAGTAAACATTAATCTCATATTTTATGGAAATAAACATCCAAATGATACTGTACATATATTAATTGCCATTGTGGAATTGGTAATTTATAAGCATATAATTTAAATTCCAATAAAATAAGAAGAAATACTGTTAATGATAACATGATTCAATATCAGTTAAATTTAGTAAAAACATTAATTCATTACATTAACATTTTCTCTGTCATTAAATTTTGAATGGGACATTTATCTTGTCCAAGATCTGTCCAAAAAGATTAGTTTAATCATTAATTATTATTAGACTAAATTAACAAGAAATAGTACAAGAACTGTACACTGTTGACTTGGTTAAATAATTTAAAACTTGTTACGATAATAGCCAATTTAATAGTTTTACAATCACTGAAATCATTATAATTAACAGCATATTTTTCATTCTATAAAATTTTCACTAAATGGACATGTTTTTTTGTCTAAGATTGGATTAAAAAATGATTAGGATTAATTAAATTAATTCCTAAGACCAAGACTCACAACATTGAATTTTGGCAGACTACCTTAACTATAGTATTAGTAGGCCTACCATAAGTATTATGATAAAACTAGATAAATTCAGATCAATAAAAAATATAGAAAATATTGAATTACACTGTCTTCATAGTCCTGGTCTGGATAGTAGGACAGAACTCCAATCGCAGTCAGACAGGTGACGAAGAAGTCAAACTGCATTAAGCAGAAGAATGGCAGAAGATAACTGGAGCGGTACTGTAAAAAAAAATATTAATAGTTGCAAATTGTGCCCTGGACACAAATCTAACTTGCAGGTATTTCACATGACAATTCTTTAAATTCAATTTTCAAATATTTTGTTGATTCCGAGTAGAACACAATAATTATGCAAGAATTCTGTCTTTTTTTTTTTTTATTAAATGCAAATTAAAACACAATTAACAATTTCTATACTTATCTGTCAATTGGTTAATTATAATACTGATATAATAAGATTCAAGATTGGCTAAATTAAATCACAGGCATACAGTTAAAATTGGCTCAAGCACACGCTATCAAAATGATATGCATCATGGAAAATATACACAGTTAAACTTACCTAAGTCGACTTTGCCTAAGTCAAATAATTTCAAAGTCAAATTTATTTTACAAGTCAAATTGTAGTGTTTTTCATTAATTAACAATCTGTAAGTCAAATTTTATCTTAAGTCGAACAATTTTACAATGGCATTTTGGATTCGACTTATGCAAGTTCAACTGCATTTTCCATATTTATGTTGTATGCAAATTATTTAAAGTCACATGACAAGATTTCAAATCAAGTATTGACATGAGAGACATACAGGTAACCAGATGAATGACTAGATGAAGCAATAATAGGTGCTTGATAATAGAATGCTTGTTCAGGGACATACCTTTAGTGTGCCATGAAGTAGCATTATTGTTATCATGCAGTAGACAACCAGAATCACCAGGCCAACACAATAATCGGCTAGTAAATGATGCAGTAGAGAAAAAAAAACCATTTTAATCAATAATATGAACATTACAATATAAAATATTTGGCTCATCCTGGGGAATAAACCTTGTCTATACTGCTGCATGGCACAGATACAGTACCAATAAATTTGAAAGGGACAAACGTGGGTGAAGTGCCTACCCAACAATACTAGTGAAATTCAGAGCGATGGTTGGAACCCTGACTACAAGATTGAGAGCCAGAAACACCTACGCTAACTACTCCTACAATTTTGGTTACTTGTTTGGAAAAATGACAACTTACAATAATCATGTGCATTTTCAATTGACCTCAATTCTGGTTTTCTATCTTCATAGCTACCGAACGTTATGATCACCAACAACAATCCGATGCCTACAATCTGACCAATCTAAAATTACGAACAAAACAAGCATTATGATTGTATTGGGTTATGGATTTGGGGGGAGGGGGTGATCGAAAGACAAAACTACCCTAGGGGGAAATTTTTGTTTTCTTTTTAGACGCCCGGAAACAAGCTCTGAGGCATTTTGGGCAATTAATAATTTATTTTTCTTTCTTACTGTATGTTATTTTCTTTTCTTTCACCCTAAATCCGCCACTGCGTTTGCATATGTTTTATAACAAACCTTAGCATAACAACAATATAAAGGAGGCGGGGCTTAACGAAAAAGTCCATTACAACAGTCTGACAATGGTCAGTTTATTATTGCACTCAATCTTCCTGTGGGTGAGACATTCTGATTCATAACTTCTTGGCTAGGCCTCTTCTATCATGATTGATGTCAAAACTCAAGAAATTTCAGTTAGAAAATATTATTTTTAATCCAGGACCAAATAATGAAATCTGTCTAAAAGACCCAATTTAAAGTTTTAAATATTTTTTTTATATTAATACCATCCACACCAGTTTCTGGCCTTTGTTTTATAGACACCCATATAGGGTGTCTTTAAAACGGAAAGACCTTTAAGTATTTCTTGATATTCCTCATTTTATTCCGATTAAATAATGAAATAGGTACTTGGTAGCTGTTTTATGATAATTTTAAATACTTTCAATAAGATAATTGAGAAACAATTGGAGGACTTCGTTTTTCGGTTATTCGGTGTTTGGTTTGTAGAAGACCCATATAGGGTGTCTAAAAAACAAAGACCCTTGAAAATTTCACAGACAGACGCCCAAAATATTTCGTAATTTTGATTTTGTGACAGTCTGGTGTATTATCATCAAAATAAAAGAGAAAAAATAGGGGGTCTTCATTTTTGGGTCTTCGGTCTTCATTTTATAGGCACCCAGAAGTCAACTCGGTCCCAATTTTCTGAGTATTTACAAACCAGACTCTCCTCAGTTCTTAGTTGTTTTTGAAATAAACACAGAAAATTGGGGCCAACCAAGTTGACTTTTGGGCCCGATGCTAATATTGGGGCCAAGTTGACCTTCTTCCCCCTAGCATCTAGTCCAAGTAACCTGGTTTCCTGTCGACGTAAAAGTCAGAATTTCTTACGTTTCATACGTTTCTTACGATTCTTACGACTCTTACGCAAAGTTGAAATAATGCCGATGTCAATGACGTTTGCGTTAATCGTGTTGGGCCGCAGACAAACCAGCAATTTTCAGCCGCTCAAGAAAGTTGAACTTACGACATTGAACTCCATCCAGAGTCCAAAACGAGCGCTTGCGACTCTTACGTTGAGTTGAATTTTTCTTGCGATATCGACGACATAAATATGAGCTGCACTAAAAATGTTAGCAAAACGTCTAGCATTAATAAAATGGATTATTGCAAAGAAGTTAGGCCTACATTTATTAAAATACAAATAGTCCTATTTGATGTTTGTATTTTTGTTTCACAAAATAATGATGTTTCGAACATTCCCCAAACATTCGTGTTTCATACCACCAAATTTTAATTATAGGAAACTGCATTAATATGCCACGGCCAAGGTGATTGTCACACAATCTACTTTGGAAAAAAAAAAAAAAAAATAGGAAAAAAAAACATCGGTGATTGTCACACAATCTACTTTGGAAAAAAAAAAAAAAAAAATAGGAAAAAAAAAACATCGGTACGCGGGAAAATTGGATTAGTGGTAAACTTTAGCCATTGACAAAATAGATATAAAACGGTCCTCACTACCTGCTGTATAAATACCCCCCCCCCCTTGAGACAGGTATAAATACCCCCCCCCCCTTGGTTTGTGATAAGATTTGTTTTAATTTATTATATTATTATACGATATTATTGTCGTCATTATCATAATCAAACAGTGCTGCTGAGCTAGTGCTACAGTACAGTAATCCACTGACATGTATTTGTGTGTAACTGATACACCTTTTTTTTTTATAAGAAAATATTTCATAGCCCCGGGTTTTTACTGTAGAACAGTGGGACTAAAATTGCTTTAAAAATAAGGACAAATTGAGGTAAAATTTCACATGCAATTATTATTATTATTATTATTATTTTAATCTAGAAAAACCAACAAAAATTATTTTAGTCTTATTTGTACATAGGTACACTAGGTGTGACAATGATGACATTCTTTGTAAATAGTACAGTATATTGCTTTGAAATAATAATTGTCTATCTTTAAAAAGTGTGTACTGTACAATTACAATATAGGCATTAAACATTTTGAGCTTGAAATTGGCCGAAAAATAAGAGTACTTAGTCTCGGCAAAATTGCTCTGGTTCATATAAAAAATGTGTAGGCCTATGAGTATATACGTTTAATAAAGCATGGAATAACACTTGTTTCGTAATTATTACTTGCACAATTTAAAATATATTATTTCTCCCGATTATTTTTAAACCTTTAACTATTAAAAACAAAAAATCATACAACCATTGGAAATAAGAATGGTTAGCAACAGATTTATTTTAAACAATTCGCTTGGTATTAAAAGATTGTAATTGAAACTAATCCTTGTTTATTATCGAATTCAGTTTCAGTATAGTAATGCGTGGCATACAATGTGTGGAGTGTTGGTAGACTACTCAACGAAGCAAGAACCGCTGAATTTTCATATATTTTTTCTACTGTAGAACAATCTGACCAGTTTCAGCCACGTCAAAACATGGTACGTCAGAAAGGCTACGTCATAATTCTCGTATCTGATTGGCTGTTTCTTACGATTTCTGGTCCATAATGCTAAGTCTCTTACGAAAGTTGACTTGGAGTCAACTTTCGTAAGAGACGTAACACAAGGCAACGCAAGCGTGATCACTCAAGCATAAGTCACTGAATCGCGGTTTCCTGTTAATCGTGGAAAATCGACGTATCGCATGAAAATTCAATGCAACGGTTTCCTGTCCAACATTGCTCTGCTACGATTTAACCTTACGTTACGTCGATTTCACAACGCACCAGTCGCAATCGGTTTCCTGTCAAATCGCATTTTGTTACGATAAAACGACGTAGTCGTAAGTAAATCTGCCTTCTTACGTCGACAGGAAACCACGTTTTACTTATAGTTAGAGGCCTAGGCCCTACATAGGCCTACCAACAGCAGGACCACCAGGCTTCAATATCAATACACAAGACAATCAATAATACATTTAATAAATATTAAATTGGAAACATAAATAGGCTAGATAATCCACCATCAATAATAATAAGAAAATAACACAAAGTTAAGATAATGAAAAAATAAAAGACACAAGCCTAATCTAGGGCCCTAGGCAGGCTACAGTCTACTAGGTCTCAGTAGGCCTAGGCCTAGGCTGGGCTAAATAGTGAATATCTTTTCCTTACCAAATTCCAAACACCAATAAGCGCTGTACCAACACGCACAGACACCATATCACAGCAGCATTTCGGTACATCATCTGACTGGGCCATGATTTAAACCTCACTTATAATCCTCCCACTGCTAAAATACCATACAGCATTAATTTGATGTAACGCTATATAGGAATAACTATTCAATATAAAATAATATTAACTCGGAAAATTACAACAAACGGAAAAGTTCCACACTATTCGGAAATTTTTGGAATCCTCTTTCCTTCTTCGATTCCAGTCCAGTCAAAACACTGAGCCAATTTAACGACATAATCTACATCCGCAGAGGAGCTAAATATTTATGCGCAATATAAATATTTTTTAACATTTAATTTAAACTTATCGTTGTAACTTTCTAAACTAAGAAAGAAGAACTAGATAAATATTTTAAAATCGTTTAATCTACGTGATTTTACAAAATTAGCAAAATAGGTATATGAGTTTTTATTTCAAAAATTTAAATAAATGAGTCCATCATTAGGATTGGTGGCGCTATGATAATATCTTTGCTTACAACACGATTACGTAATTACGTTTTTTGCATCATTCCTATCTGTAAAATGGGAAACCCTAACATAATATAAACGGCGAATGGCTTGAAAAGCTTCTATAAATAACAGAGATGGAAATAACATGTTCTGATTTAAAAAAGTTTGTTTTTATTTTACTTACACAAAGCGGCTACAAAACTCCTTAGGACCTATTTTATTTAATTTTAAATTTTGATATAAAATTTGAATATAAAAGTAGTTTTTTATTTATTTACTTATTTCTCCATTATTAATATCCTAAATAATTCTATTTAACATTATTAGTCATAAAGTATTTTTGCTAAAGTGTCAACGTAATCAATTTACGTCAATGACCACCAAGTATTTTTGTAGCAGAATTGTTATAATAATAATTAGGTACATACACAGACAGTAGGCCTATATTGTTTATAGATGCACTTGCAATGGAAAAAGAATAAGGATTATATTTACTTTTTATGGCTGGTAGAACGACTATTCTTTTAGACACAAATTACAAAATTTAACAAAATACATATAAAACAATATCAAATAAAAACATCATATCCTAGCTATGATGATTAAGTGAGCTAGCGCTAGGTCATAAAATGGTGATATGAGGTGGTTCTTAACTACTTACATTTTCGATGGGGGGCAAAACTGTTAGATACGCACCATACATGATGGACATAGGATGCAGGTGCTTGTTGAAAGTATCCACATGATGTTTCCCAAGATGAAAAAAAAAAAAAAATAGGGATCATTTTGCCGGCGTCGTAAACTAAAGATGGCTCCGAAAGAATTAGTTCTATTGTGCCCAGGCCTATTCCTTTTTAATCTCTCTCAGAAAAGAACTTAACATACAAATACTGAATATAAAAACAAATGCAGTAGATTTTTTTTATGTTGTTATAGGATGTCATCATAATTTTCATATACTAGTGTAGATAAAGAAAAAAATTGATTAGGTCTTCCCAGACATCATTGAATAAATAATCGATGATTATACCATGTTAAATACAGTACTATCTTTATTTTCAGAGATATTTTTGGATATTTCATATTTATGTTTATGTTGTAAATACTATTTGTGTTATATGAATAAAAAATTTAACATTATTGCAGTTGATGTTTTGGTTATCCACACGTGCTAACTGTACTTTTTTATGTTTCTTGTTTTAACCCGGAAATGAAATACATAAAATTAAATACAGAGTAGAACCCCTCCTTTGGACACCCTATTGATGAGGGGACACTCGAGCCCGCACCCGAGAAACAGGGTACCTGCAAAATGCAACTATGACATGTGTCATTAAATTAGTAATAATTCATCTACTCACAACATAATCTTTGACAACATACAAAGGCTCATAAATGTACACCATTTCAAAAGAGAAATTTCACTTCTAGAAAACATGATGAAGTTTCTCAGCAACACTGAACATAAAAATCACAAAATCAGCAAAAAGGAAAACTAATATCCAAAAACCGTTAAAAAAGTCGTCAAACAACAAAATCCGCTACTGTAGGTATATTACCACTGAGTAAATTACAAGTGTTCTATTTCTCACCAAGTGGATTTATGAATAGCACTCTCCCAGGGTGTTTTTGGTAGGAAAAGACTTAAACACTGTGAGTGTAATTTTTTCTTTGCAAAAAAAATAGAGGGGGGGGGGGGCGTGTGAACCTACCTCACCCAACCCCCGCCCCCACCCAAATCCGCCACTGGAAATAGGCCTAGGCCCTAGGTTTAGGTAGGCCTACTTTGTTTCATGTCAGGAGCGTAACAGGGGTCTTGGGTCAGGGGGGAAAAGGTAATAATTTTCCCGGTTAGTAATTTATCATACCCACCCTACACCCCTCCCCATATAGAAAACAATACAACATAGGGCTTATCTTATTCATAATATAGGCCACACACGTGTGTTTGAAAATAAATAAGCATTTCATCATGGTTTTATTTATTACAAACATATTCTTTCACCATCAATACACATTGAGGCCCTGTTTTAAGGTTAAAACGATCTATCTTAAATTTTCTTTCTTGAGTTTGGGACTATTATGTTTAAATAACTGCAAAGGATAACCCTAAAAAAGGCCTAGGAAATGCGCGTGTAAAAAGTTTTTGTGTTTTTAATTTTAATTTCGTCGGAATTGATCACAAATCTCTAAAATGTGCAATTTTTGAGGGACTTGGCCAACTCTGACAAGAAATGCGCGCGAAGTGCGCGAAATTTGAGGATTTTAGACACTTTCAGAGGATGAAAATGGCATTTATCAAGGGGTGGGGAAAGATTTTCCAAAGATGGATATTTTCCCCTTGCCCCCCCCCCTGTGTTTTTAATTCTAATTTCGTCAGAATTGATCCCAAATCCCTAAAATGTGCAATTTTTTTAGGAAACTGGCCTACTTAGATAAGAAATGCGCGCGAAGCGCGCGAAATTTGAGATTTTTAGGCACTTTCAGGGGATGAAAAGGGGATTTTATATGTATTCAAAATAAATCGCCAAAGGAGGGAGCCGCGGTTCCCACGGCTCCCCCTGGATATGTCTCTGAATCGGTTTGTCTTTTCAGAAAGAGGCTAATCCTGGATACGTCCCTAAATAGGTTTGTCTTTTCAAAAAGAGGCCTATTAGTATTAGTGGCCTGTCCTGTCCAACGCATTGTGTTCAAAATTGTATTTTGCGTCACTACATAGACTTCTCCCAACATTTTATCTGTGATTTAAACTGCGTTTGCAGCCATTGGTAGCGCCAGCGGAAGGGCAGGAAGGGAGTTTCCCCTCCCGTCGTCCCACGCCATGACGAGGTCGTCGGACCAGTTGCCTATGCAAATAACGGTATCTTTTTATTGCCGGTCCCTAATATTGTGGTCTAAAAGCACAATTCTGTGCCATCTGGGCGTATCCACGGGGGTTGGGGGTGGGGAAGCGCTAAATCACGGTCAAGTACTTAAAAATCACCTAAAATCACCTTATTTTGCGAATTAGCGCCCTCAACTGGTCATCGAGCCCCTCCCCTCCCCACTTCACCTTCGCCTCCCCCACCCCGTAGATACGCTACTGAGATGGCCCCACCACATCAGCACCCCCATTTCAAGACTAGATACACCATTGGCCATACTAAGCTATGAAACACGTACCCATTACCCCTACTGGGGATTTTTATTCCCCGGTTCTAAACGACCCCTTGGTTTGTACCACCTGTCGGACATGCGTAGACCGGGGCGTAGACATGCATCAGCCAAATGTAGTACAAAATTGTTTATCAGTGTGATTAGTCTGCTCAATAAACAATTTTAATTACTTGTGCAAATATAAAGATGTGGGTAACCCTCATCTTTATATACCACTTTTCATGGATCTCGACCTGCTATGTAGGCCCTCTTTAGGCTAGATGCGCCTAAACGGTTGGAAGCGACGATCGAAGAAAAACGGTTAAGCAAGCCAAGGACTTCGCTAACTTCCATTCCTCAGTATTAAAATCCTTCCATTGATGGGCACTGTCTAAAACTTTCTTCCAGCTTATCTCTGAAAGATTGTAACCTTTTCGTCTGCAGCTTCCATGACGGCCTAGGCTCGGACATGACACGATGTTGTTTGTTGTTATTCGCGACGTCATCAACGAGTACAATACATTCATTATCCACCATTAACTAAACTGCCTTAAAGAAAAAAAAATTGGTTCGTGTGGGAATCGAACACACAACCTCAATGTTTGCTATTCATTATCCACCATCAACTAAACTGCCTTTTCGCGACGTCATCAACGAGTACAATACATTCATTATCCACCATTAACTAAATTGCCCTTAAAAAAAAAGAAATCACATCTAATATTTACAACCTCTAACTTACGTCTGCCAAACGGTTGTAACCAACCTCCCTAATATACATAATTATAGACGTTGTCGCAACGTCAAAGTACCCTGTTGGCCTGACATCGGTAAACGTTTGAAATAGATGTTGGGTATCAGTACCGTTGGGCCGACGTTTCTTAGAGATTGTAAATATTATGTATGATTATAGACGTTGTCGCAACATCACAGTACTCTGTTGGCCCGACGTCGGTAAACGTTTGAAATTTACAACTTCTAACCAACGTCGGCCTCCACTAACGTTTACCGACGTTGGGCCAACAAAGTACTGTGACGTTGGGACAACGTCTATAATCACATCCTAATTTACAACCTCTAACCAACGTCGGACCAACGGTTGTAACAAACCTCCATTCCAAACGTTTACCGACGTCGGGCCAACAGCGTTCTGTGACGTTGAGACAAGGTCTGTAATCACATTTAATATTTACANNTAATATTTACAACCTCTGGCCAACGTCGGCCCAACGGTGGTAACCAACGTCTATTTCAAACGTTTACCGACGTCGGGCCAACAAAGTACTATGACGTTGCGACAACGTCTTTAATTACATCTAATAGTTACAACCTCTAACCAACGTCGGCCCAACGATTGTAACCAACCTTCACTAACGTTTACCGACGTCGGGCCAACAAAGTACTCTGACGTTGCGACAACGTCTGTTATCACATTCTAATATTTACAACCTAACCGACGTCGGGCCAACGGTTTTAACCAACCACCATTTCAAACGCTACCGACGTCGGGCCGACAACGTAGCGTGACGTTGAGACAACGTCTACAATCACATCTAATATTTACAACCTCTAGCCAACGTTGGGCCAACGGTAGTACCCAACCATCTTTTTAGAAGTTTGGCCAGTAACAAATCGTGACGTTGTACCAACGTCCGTAGACAGACTGAATATTTACGACGGCTTACCAACGTTGGGACGACATCGGAAAATCGACAAATATATTCATAAGTTGGGCCAACGTGAAATTCCAATGTTGGTCTAACGTTACCTCTCCGACCAAATTTGCAACCAAACACCAACGTCGTACCAACGTCAGATATCTAACCCCGACGCTTAACGACGCTTGTCAACGTTTACCAACGTTGGGCCAACGTCGCTTTGCTAGCTGGGAATGTATCTTTTAACACTACAAAAAATCCTTATTAAGGGGACAAGGACAATCTTTTTGAGTCAAATCAATACAAGAATAGGGCTACTCCTATTCAGAGGACACCCTAAAGGGGACACTTTTTTTGGTTCCGAAGGTCTCCCTTTAAACCTCAAAATACAGTATCTCCATGCTTTCCCGGCAGGGGTTCCTTGATATAGGCCATGGGGTGAAGCTCAAAAGACGTCTAGAAAACGAATTCCGTTCCGATTTTTTCATTATAAAAAATTTAGGCCTACAATAGTTAAGTAATATGTCTTGAATCAAATATAAAAAGTTCGACAAAAATATCTTCTGCAATTTTAAGAAAATTACCGTTTTATTACGTTCCTAGGCTGCTGGTCGTCGGAAAACACACCGCGATACAGCGGTGTAGAAGCACGTCGCGATCATACCATGAGCTGTCCACTTGCGTCAACTCGCATAAAATCGCGTCATTTTAGGTCAAATCGTGTCAAGTAATGTCGGATTGCCTCAGTACACGTCAATTCGCGTCAACTTACAGTATAATTAGTAATGAGAAATTTCAACAAAAAAACTTATTTTATTATTGTAATTGCAATTATTTGATATTCTTTTCAAAACAATAATTGTGTAACAATTTAAAGAAAATGTATTAGTATTTTGACTTCTTTTGACTCCTGTGGTCTTCCTTTTGACAATGTGTCTACATGTTCCCTGTATGTGTACTAAAGTACACACTTCATTCTTACAGTATTTTTGCATTCATATTCCTTTTTTAAAATTATTGTATTTATTTTACTTTCAAATTGTAATAAAGGATTAAATGTGGGGAAATTTAAACTTGGTGCATTGTTATGATGTGCATGGATGTACATTTGTTTTGTATACTACGGTTGACCCATGTTGGGACACATTTTATTAAATAGAAATTGAAATTTAATACGTAATATGAAAAATTCATATTTATTTCTCAAATATTCTGAGAGCTTATACAATATATAACCTGTCTCTTATACACATCTAGATGTGTATAAGAGACAGTATATACACACACACATACATATACAA